CCACCGACCCAGCCCGGCCGCCGGCCGTCCGCCTGCCCGCCACCCACCTACCCACCCACGACCACCAGTCACCCACCCACCTACGCACACCACCCACCCCCTCGGTACTTGAATTAAAAAAAAAAGAAACATATATTCCTTAGTATATATAAAAATCAAAACATTCGTCCGCACTTCTTAGCGGCCCGGTGCGGGTTTGATGGGTGGTGAGTCAAGATCTTGACACAATGTTCATGATTGACTAGCCTCTCTGCTCTTTTACGTGCGGGGATTGCCCGCACCGCCCGCACCGCGGGTGCTAAGCTAGTATATATATATATCGTCACAAACAAATATATATACAGGGTTACCAGCCTGAACGTTCGGAGGCCCTGGGGCCCGGCCCCGAACGTTTGGGCGTTCGGGGCGGCGTTCGGGGACTGTCCGGCCACGCGTTCGAAAGCCGCAAAAATTCAAAAAAAAAAAGTTCGAAAATCGGACTCCGGGCTGAACTCCCGCATTCGGAACGAACGTCCCCGGGCCCGTCACGCATTCGGAACGAACGTCCGACAGGATTGGCGCTGGTGGAAGGTCGTAGGACAGAAGGTAACTCTCGCTTTCTCTCTCTCTTTTCCATCCTCGCTTCCTACCTCCCTCCCTCCCTCCCTCCCTCCCCTCTTCTACCTCATCTCCTTAGTCCTGGTTTTTGCCTCCCTTAGGGCATAACTGCACGCTACGACACTATTCTCCAATCTAATCTGGCCTGAAAAATGCCCCGAATACAGCTATAATGGTCGGGCATTACAGTTATGATGGTCGGGCGTTATATTCGGGTCAAGACGGTAGCCATGAATCAATCAAACGATGTCAGGTGGCCGGGCGTTGATCGATTGATTGATTGATGGATTGATGGATTGATAGATGGATGGATTGATAGGTTGATAGATTGATTGATTGATTGATTGATTGATTGATTGAACGATGGGTCTGAGGGGATTCGACTTTTGGGCGAGACGGAGGAGGAGGAGGAGGAGGAGGACGAGGACGAGGACGCCTCGTGATTTTCCTCAAATGCAATCAATCTATCAAACATTTGTTCCTCGACGACCATTCTTTCCCCTTCTTCT